CACACACACACACACGCACACACACGCACACACACGCACACACACGCACACACACACGCACACACACACAACAGACACAGACACACACACACAACATATATACACACACACACACACAACATATGCACACACACACAACACGCACAACATATGCACACACACCACACAAACACCAAACGCACAAAATATGCACACACACACAACACAAACACAACACGCACAACATATGCACACACACACACACACACCACACACACAACACGCACAACATATGCACACACACCACACAAACACAACACGCACAACATATGCACACACACACACACACACCACACACACAACACGCACAACATATGCACACACACCACACAAACACAACACGCACAACATATGCACACACACACACACACACCACACACACAACACGCACAACATATGCACACACACCACACAAACACAACACGCACAACATATGCACACACACACACACACACACACACACAACACAAACAAAACAATCAAACTCACAATATCACTTACACTGTGTTGTTAATATCTTTGTTAAAGTCTGATGACTTATTAACAAAACATTCCTTTTTCTTTGATTATTTTACAGAGCTTTTGTATAAATACTATTGCATGTATTGAATGAAACTATTTGAATGTAAGATCAACACTTTGAAAACACCATCTTGAATTGAAATATTGGTTTCCACTTAACGTTATTTTTCTACATAGATTATCATATACTGCCATTATACACTGGTTCAAATGTGAACGTGTACACTTTTAAAAGTTTTAAAACCACGTAATCACATAGTTTCAACACTAATAACTTTAAAACCAGTACATTTGTAAGTAAGACGTTTGTTTGACCGATATAAAGTTGGTTCGACGTTTGAGGTTTGACATTTGACATTGTCCACAAAGTCAACAGGTTTACCAGCATCTGTGGAAAATGCAAAACTGCAACACAGCACAATGATGACAGTCCTGCTGGAGAAAACAGCCACTTAGTAAACTTAAAAGAATTCAAGACAGGTGCTCTTTGTCGTCCCTCCAAAGAAGCCTATGATTTCATACAACAAATTGAGGACCAAGACTACTTCCTTTTATTATTCCATCTAAATGCTTCACTTGTGAAATGTATAAAAAAATAAATCTCAGATCTAAGGGGTGTGTTTTATTACTGGTTCATAAAATAACATTTAGATGCTGGTTTTATTCACAGAACTATAGCACAACAAAAGCTATTGAAATGGAACAATTGAGAAACAACTTGCAAAGCATTACAAAGATTATGCAGTTTACCGCCCCCTAGAGGAAGATATTGCACTTGTCTTGACCAAGTTTGACATTCAGAAGTTTAAATAAATTAATTTAGAATGCACACAGTTTGATATGTAAACTTAAATGGGTGTGTCTTGTTACTTGTTCAAAGAACAATATTTACAGCCATCTTTTACTATCATATGTAAATCAGGATGCACGCTATTGAATTAAATTTTAATCTGTTAACACATTCATTTTTAAAACGTACAGTATTCCATCTCAACTTCAAAAGGTGTGTCTTGTTACTGCTTCATAGACGAACATTTAAATGTCGGTTTTATTCACAAAACTATAACACAGCACATGATATTGAAATGTCAACGAATACATTAATCAATGTAAAGTAATATGCTCTTCTATCTTAACTTGAAAGGCAGCCTGGAGATCTCCAAATGGGGGTGGGAGCTCTAAAATAGGGCGTGGCTTCCTCTCATTGACAGACAGGCACATGACACGCATGCGCAATTTTTTCCCCCAATCCACTTCAGTGCAAACTCCGCCCCACAGCTGATTCTAAAGATTTTATTGGTTGTGTGCTACAAAAAATGCTAACCCTTAACCCTATGAACTAGAAACTATGTTTAATTTATACATTTTTATTTTGAAATGTAAGTCAATAACAATTGGCTGGAGCCAGAGCCAATGGTGAAAGTCTTTGCGCGAGGAGACCCCGCCCCATTTTGGAGGTTCTACCCACTTTTGGAGTTCACGCCCTATTTTGGAGATCTCCGGTCTGCAGTTATATCTATTTGGTGAATTTTGAATGTCAATAACATGATTTCTGCATCTCTTTTGACAATGAAAACAACTGCAAAATGTTCTTTAAGAAGTCTGTAACATGACCCAGCCTTTGAAACTGAGGTAGAAGATTGTATTTATTTTAAACTAAATTATGTATTGGTTTAACCTTATATAGTATGTGTTCTATTATAGTTTTGTGGCTTAAACCACCATCAAAATGTTTGTCTAATCTGTAACAAGACACACCTATTGAAGTTGTGTAATAAAACTGTGTTATAAATTAATTTATTAAAAATTAGATTTTCAAACTCAAGTCAAAACAACTGCAAAACAACACTCTTTGCCAGCTTTGTCTTAATTGTTGAATTTCAATACCATGTTTTCTATTATAGTTCTGTGACTAAAACAAATATAAAAATGTTCTTATAAAAACAGTAACAAAGACATGAGGTTAATACAGAAGAGTATTATTTTTTAATTAATTTATTTATTGGTTTAAATTTCAATAGTGTGTATTTTGGTGTCAAACTTCTGTGAAAACAACAAGCATTAAAATGTTCTCACAAGGACCTGGAATAAGCCTACTGCATAACCACTAAATTATGGAATGATGATTTTTAATATTTTTTATTTTATTAATATATTTATTAATAGTAATAATAACCACTATCACATATCTTGTTTACAATATTTCTTATTTAAATTCAAGTGAGCGTTATAAGTGTTTGTCTTTATATCTTTCAAAGAGCTTGGTGCACTATTTGCTCTTGTTTTGTTAATCGTGAAAAACATTCCGGTGGGAAAACATTCATCGTTTTATCCTTTACATGTACTTTGTAGACGGTCCCTAGGGGCCTAAGCGCTAGCTCGGCGCTGCTAGAGACTTTAAGCGTTTCAACATATAGAGGACGATTAAAACATAAATAAACTGCGATGTGTGTTCAGTTCTACGTTTTAATGCTTTTCAGATAAGCCATTTTGTATACAATTATACTCATCCACTAAGAATTTATTGAAGTTTTTCGCGGCTGAATATCTGTCTAATATCCAACGTCAAACGTCGAACCAACTTTATATCGGTGTTTGTTTGTATGTGGTTTTTCTTACTCTCCGAGTTTTGCTCTGTGAAGCTGGAATCGCTCTCTTCCTCTGGGACATGACGATCGATCCTTGAGAATTATATATGTAGTCCTCTCTCTCTCTGCGTGCTAACAGGCCTCTAGCACCGCCGCTGCTACTCTGCGCTGTGTTGTGTGTTCGTGGGTGGTGGTAGAGAGGAGACACGGACAAAGAGGGGTTCGGGATCGTGGCTTGACCGTTTATTCCACAGCACGGCATCTATAGTGTTGATAACATGAACTCACTTAAGTTTTAAACTAGCAAAGTACATTTCAATGCACATTCAATTCAATAACAATCTCTCGCTGCTTATATTATCATACATAGCTTTGCATCAGCCACCCAGTAATCACGCTCCAAAGAAAGAACAAAAAACATTTTAACTCTCCATATTACTCTGCATTTAGGTCTTTAGCAGTTTAGAACACAAAATATCTCAATATACAGAACTTTAGAGCGATAACAACAAAGATATTTTAAATTGAAATTTCCACTACTGTTAACGTGACTTACCTATAGTGTTGATAACATGAACTAAAGAAAAGATGGCGCACTACACGCCTATCAACACTACGGTACATCAAAAGGCTCAAACAGCGCAAAAAATACTTGAATCTGTCCTAACACAACAGTGTCATAGCGGAATCTTGTGGACAACACAATACACTGCCCTACATATACATAAAAAAACACACACAAAATGTGAATACATAAAATACACGAATCAATTAACTGTTTCTCTGTCACTTCGGATGTTACGAACGCAAGACACGATATGGCATTAACATCAGGACCAGCAGGTTTAAACAAAGCTAATGCTTTATCTGAGTAAATTATGTAGATAACAACAATGCATGGTGAGATGTTTAAAACGGGTTTCACCTGTCAGTGATGTTTAATTCTCTATATACCATGCTGAAAGCGTGAGAGCGCAGTTTCCCGGTGATTTCTTCTGCTGCTGATGAACGGCACTCCGCCGACAGCTGAGCATCATCACATCGCCCCCTGCTGGACAACAGCCGTCTTCACAGCAACACGGGCTCAGAAATGTGACCCTGGCCTGGACCACAAAACCAGTCATAAGGGTCAATTTTTTTAAATGGAGATTTATGCATATTCTGTAAACTCTCCATTGCTGTATGGTTTGTTAGGATAAGACTATATTTGGCCGAGATACAATTATTTTAATATCTGGAATCTGAGGGTGCAAAAAAATCTACATATTGAGAAAATCGCCTTTAAAGTTGTCCAAATTAAGTTCTCATATTACTAATCAAAAATTACGTTTTTATATATTTACGGTATGAAATTTACAAAATATCTTCATGTAATATGATCTTTAATATCCTAAGGATTTTTGGCATAAAAAATCGATCATTTTGACCCATGCAATGTATTGTTGGCTATTGCTACAAATATACCCGTGCTACTTATGACTGGCTTTGTGCTCCAGGGTCACTAATAAGCTGTGTGTCATTTACTGATCTACAGAACATTTACATGTACCCTCATCAGCGCTGCTGCGTGAATATGACGCATCACAACACCACGGAGACCCGAGGAAAAACTGGGGTTAAAGTCCAAAACCTGTCGTGAAATAACCTAAAAAATCAATCTCGGCTAAAGCAGTTCCATTAACGACAAATTAAATTGTCCCAATTCTTAGGGGAATATTTTCACCCCTACCCTTTGACACTCCGTTTCAAGGGACAAGGGGAAGGGGTAGGGGAAGGGGAAGGGGAAGGGGAAGAGGAAGGGGTATAAAATAGAATTGGGATTGGGCCTTAATGTCGATCACGGATCAAATCGATCCACCATGACAAACAGCGAATATATCTGTGCTGTTTAATGCATTTGAGACGTGTTTTCCTCAGTGCATAACTGACATGTCACAGGTATATTTTTCATCTGTAAATGTTAGAAAGTCATGCAAACATATCCATTTTGCTGTCGGGAGTGGACGAGGTTTACGCGAGAGAACGAGCGCTGCTGTGCGCATGCGCACTAAACAGACTGAGCGCAATCGAATAGGAGCGCAGTAATTCTGAGTAAAATATACAATTTGCTAAAATATTTGTTGTTGGACATTAAATGTGTCTTTTTTAGAATTTTATAAAGTGTATTTTTATGATAGCAGTAACGGTAAAGGGACTAATGGGTAAATCAAATGCAAGCTAGTACAGTCCTAATTACTATAAGCTCAAATGAGTTAATGTGTGTTTCTTATAGCAGTTAAAATATAGTCCATTTTCTTTATTATTTATTTTAATGTTTAATTCAGTGATTTTAACTTTTAATGTAGTTATTTTAATGCTTTAAAGAGCAAGTTTAGATTATAATGTTCTGCTATCTGTGCTGCAAACTATAAAAGGTACAGCTGTCATAAAACCAGAGAGAAAGGCTGCATGGCTAGTAACTGTAAAAAAAAAGAAGAAAAAAAAAGAGTGAGAGTGGTAATATCATTACGTTCCTATTGGTCAGTGTTAGAGGAACTCAGTTTAGTCTGACAGTTAACCTGCTTTAGATCAGGTTAGTTTCCCAGCATAACTTGCCACAGTGACTAGCTTGATCTATATGGAAGCATATAGGTAGCGAAATTCAATTTAAAATGCAATATTCAAAATGGCAATGTATTTTTGTATTTAAATTTAAATTTAAATTTTCCATTACCCATACGTGTATTCACTGGCAGATGAAGTGGAGCTTGAACAGAGAAATATATGAAGTGCATTCCATGCTGAAATCAAACGTTCGAACGACCGACCGATCGACCGATCGACCGGCTATCCGAAAGTCTTGAGCTTTGAGCGTCTTACACTGCGGGTGACCCACGTGACGCCAGCGTCTTGAAATTAGCTGGTGTTTAAACATTTAAGGAGCCAAGCTGCTGTGTAAAGACTATAAATGGACATTACAAGCATTACAATAATTATATTTTATACCTAAAATAATACTCAACCATTTCCTGCATCCTGCTGTACTTCCCTGAATAAGTCTTTAAAGGTGTTGTAGGCTAATAAGTCGTTCTGAGTAATAAATTGAAAAAGCTCCCACCTGTATATGACTAAACAAAATAACATGTAGTTTACTTGAGGTTCTGCTATAAATGTGTCTATTAAAAACATTAATTCAAATTAATTAATTAATTAGTTTGAAATTAATTAAGACTTCCAGAGTTTTTGAACAAAAGTCCTGAATGACTGTTATTAAAGGTAATTTAATGAATTTTAATGATTTTCAATGCCCCACAGAAACGGGAATGGAGGAAAATTATTAATTTTCATTTTCCTTTTGCAACAAACTTTGCACGTATGGGTAATGGAAAATGTAAATTTAAATACAGAAATACAATGCCATTTTGAATATTGCGTTGCCA